GAGCGACCTGGACATCGACAAGCTGATCACGACGAAGGGGTTCGGCTACAGCGGGCAGGAGCTTGAGCGCGGGGGGCCACTGGTGATGGGCGAGCTACGACCAGGGCTGCCCAAGCCGGCGTTGGCTGGTTCCGGGCAGGCTTTGGATCTCGCGGCTCCGCATGTGCAGGAGTGGTTGTCGGACCCCACGCGGCTCCTCAAGCCTCAGGACGAATGGCCAGAGGAGGTCCCGAAGGCCAGCGTGCATGTGGCCGACGACCGACGACGAGGAGTGGTACGCCCTGTGCAAGTCGGGGGGAAGCAGGTGCTTGCGGGGGCCTTTGCGGTTGCGAACTTGGGGACCCCGACGCCACCCTTCACGAGGGTCACCAGGCTCATCATCAACATGGTGCCGCGGAAGGCCTACCGGCGGGGTGCTGAGGCCGAGCTGGACTCGCCGACCCCCAGCTCGACGTGGGCGTCCTTCGTCGTGCCTGATGACCAGGCCTTGGCGCGGTCGTCAGACGACCAGTCGGGGGCGTTCCATTTGTACGCGCTGCCGCGGGCCTGGCGGGGGTACATGGCGTGGCGCCAGCCAGTGCCTGGGTCGCTGGTAGCGCGGCCGCAGTTCCAGTGGGCCAAGATGGCGGACGCGGTGACCCCGATGGGATGGCTGCCTGCTGTGAGCCTGTTCCAGCACCTGCATCGACGACTAGGCGTCGGTGATGGGCCTCGCAGCGCGGGGTTCGGCAAGAAGGTGGAGTGGGGGCGTGACCGCCCGCGGCCGCTTGTGCCTCAAGCCATGGCCCAGGCGGGTGTGCAGTGCCTCCTGGACGACATCGATTCCCCCGAGATCGTGCCCGAGAGCGTCGCCACCCTCATCGAGGAGGCCCTCTGCGATTTTCAGGAACGCCAGCGGGGGGCGTATTCCTCTGCCCGCATCCTCTGGTCGGACAGGAAGGCGGTGTGTCGCCAGCGTCGCCTTGTCAGGATGGGCACCCTCGTAGACGGGGACGCCGGCCGCGTGGGGGTCACGATTGATGACCTGATGGGCATCCGGCAGATGATCATGCGGCTGCTTGCTGGCAAGGAGAAGGTGACCGCCACGGGCTGCCTCCTGGTGCTTGGGCGGCTGGCCCGAGCGTTTGAGCCTGCTCTTCGCGACGCTCAACGAGACACGGGTCATCCCAGAGCTGCGAAGGGCCTCGGAACAGGGGGGGGCGCCCTGCAGCAGGTCGCCCGCCTGCCCGAGGGGGGGCGCACCGAGCCGCTTGTCGCCCTGGGCCTGCTGCCGACGGCGTTCACCTGCATCCGCGCGACCTTCGACCCCGTCGTCCTTGCCACCGACGCCAGTGAGGAAGGCGGCGGGCTGTGCTACACGTTGGGCCTCACCAAGCATGGAGCGGAGGTGGCGGGCGCCGACCCTGGTGAGGAGGGGCTTGCCTTCCTGCCTCGGGGCGCCGTGTCATCAGGGGGGCTGCCGGAGCTGCTGCCTCGAGGGGTGCCCTGGTTGACAATGGCGCTCTTCGACTACCTCGGCGGGATCGGCGCGGCGGGGGTGGCCTTGTCGCAGCGCCCCTGCAGGGTCGTCATGTACGCTTCGTCCCTCGAGCTGTCCAAGGCCTCCAGAACCATTGAGCGGATCTGCGGCAAGCGGGGCACGATATGGTTCGTCGAAATCGTGGCGGACATGCCGTTGGACGACATTGCGATGGTCACCGAGGTGCTGGGCGTCACGTCGTACCGCATCGATGCCATGGAGGCGGGTGCGGTGCGTAGGCCGCGCCTGTGCTGGGTCTCCTGGCAGCTGCAGGCCCGGGACGACTTGATCGAGATCCTGGAGGCTGAGTTCTACCACAAGGTGAGGTTGCAGGTCGCTGCTGAGGCCGCCCCAGTCGGGGCTGAGGACGGCGGGGGCCAGCTTGACCCTGGTCACGTGCTGCCGTCCGTCGCTAAGCTGTACAAGAGGAGTCCCCCTTCTCCGGTCGCGGGGATCAAGATGGCCAGCGACATCGCGATTGAACGATGGACAGCCTCCGGCTATGTGACGCAGCTGTGCAATTTGGATGACCAGAACCTTCTCTCGAACGCGGCTTGGGACAAGCGGCGTATCCCCTCAGCTGAGCGCGAGGCGGTGAGGGGCCTTGTTCGAGGACACACACGCGCTGCTGGGAAGGGCTCTTTGCTTGGAGCTGAGGCAGAGATCGCCAGGTCATCGTTCATCGGGAACTCGTTCTGCGCGCAGGTCGTGTCATACTGGTTTGCGGAGCTCCTAGCTAGAGAGGATGGCCGTGCGGCCCCCGACATTGCGCCGCTGCTCCGCCTGGGGGCGGCGTCGCCATCGTGGGGCCAGGAGCCTGAGTTTGGAGGCGCCGAGGCTAACGATCCGGACCTTGAGAGGCGGCTGGTGTTCAAGTACCTGCGGATCGCCAGCAGAGGAGGCGCAGACATGCAGCACGGTGCTAGCCGGGCTGCAGGCCAACATGTGGACGTGGTCCATTCGGCACGGCTTTCCGTGGAAGCAGGAGGCGCGCATCAAAGAGCTGGAGATGGGCGCGGCTGTGAATGCGGTCAAGTGGCGTGCCCGGACGACGACTCGAACGCTACCTCCACCTCCTCGACCCGCCGGTGGCGGCCAGCGTGCTCGCCAGGGGCCGGCCCGGCGCCAGGAGGCTGTGGGGCTGGACGCTGGCGCACGCGTCGTACCTCGTCGCCTGTGGCTGCTACCCGCTGTTCGCGTACGTCGACACGGACGACGACCCAGTGGAGGTGCCGTCGCGCTGGCTGGACATGGGCTGCCGGGGGCACCGGCGCGCTCAGCGCGGCAGCGCGGCTCTGGTGGGCCGTGGGCGCCAAGCGGCTCAGGCGTAGCAGGCCGCCTCAGGATGGACGAGTTTTTGCGGTCACCCGACAGCGCTATGGACAGGCGCGACAACAGTTGCGAGATTTGTTCAACAAGCAGCATCTGCGCCCAAAGACCGCGCGGGATGTTGACCATGGCGTTGCCCTGTGCATCGAGCACGTATGCCGCACAGGCGGCTCACTACTTGCCGTGAACAATGCGCTCACTGCTGTGCCATCTTTCAGCCCGTGGCTGTCGGGCAGGCTGAAGCAGAGTTGGATGCTCCTGAAGACTTGTCTTAATATGGAGCCCAACGCCCGTGCCACGCCAATGCCGCCGCTGCTCGGCCTCGCCTTTGCAGGAGATCCTGCTGGTGAGGCGTGCTTCGGGTGGGCGCCTTGCTCGCCGTCGGCTTCGCAGGGGCGCTGGGCAGTGGTGAGAGGCTGCAACGAAGGCCAAAGGACATTCGCATCTCTCAGCGACAGATGTCAGCAATCGTGGTGCTCCGCAACACTAAGACGGGGCAACGCTGCAGCTGGCTTGAGCTGATCATGATCCGCTCCAGGCTCGCGGTGAATCTGCTGCCGCAGCATGTGCTCGACAAGCACATCCTGAACATCAAGGGGTGAGTTCATGCAGCTCCGCAGGCGCGCGGGGCTCGCGCTGAGCCTCACAGACGAGAGGGTGACCTTGTATTTCGGCGCGGAGGCGCCACGCAGGACTTTTTGGAGCAGGGCAGTCTCGTGCTGACCCTGTTGAGAGGGAGCAGGCGAGCGCGCGGTCTGCACGAGTCTACGCGCAGGATGCGGTGGCCGCGCTGGCCGACGGCTGCTGGCAGACCTGCAGCTTGCGGGTGCCCGCGCGCTCGCCTCCCATGTCTGAAAGGATGCCTCCCTCTCCTCCGACCCCCTCCTTTCAGACTTCATCTTATTCCTCTCCCTTCTGATCAGTCAGTTCAGGAGAGGCGCCAGGCGGGGCATGCATAAAAGAGAGGGGGCGCCCATCCTGCAACGCAGTCTGTGCAGAGTAGGGGTCATGGAAGAGTCTTGGTCCCCCCCAGAGTACCCTCAGAAGTTCCTAGCACTCGGGGCTCGCTGAAACCTCCACCCTGCTGGCCGCCGGGGCTTCCTGGTGAGCCAGTGCGGGTGGGGGGTATTCGGCGTGCTCTGGCTGGTGGGCTGGCGTGGGCCAGCGTGGGCCGGTGTTGGTGCGTGGGGGGGTTTTGAAAGCTTCTGGGTAACTCGGGCGGGCCCTCTTCCTTTGAACACAGCGCTCTGGCTGCGCCGAAGAAAAGCGGAGGGTCGGGGTATATGGTATCTTCCCGAGTAGCTTATACTGAGAATCTCCCGTGAAACGTTCGGCGCAGCCGACCCCAAGGGGGTCATCCGTAGTTTGCTTGGGCCACCTCCCGTGTCTCTGCCTGGCTTACTCGTCATAGCGCATTCTTTGCGCGCATGCCTCTTCAGTTTCAAAGCTCGTCATAGCGCATGGTGGTGCGTGCATGCCTGTTGCTTCTGGGTCTGAGTCTTGGTCCCCCCCAGAGTACCCTCAGAAGTTCCTAGCATTCGGGGCTCGCTGAAACCTCCACCCTGCTGGCTGCCGGGGCTTCCTGGTGAGCCAGTGCGGGTGGGGGGTATTCGGCGTGCTCTGGCTGGTGGGCTGGCGTGGGCCAGTGTGGGCCGGTGTTGGTGTGTGGGGGATTTTTGAAAGCTTCTGGGTAACTCGGGCGGGCCTTCTTCCTTTGAACAGCGCTCTGGCTGCGCCGAAGAAAAGCGGAGGGTCGGGGTATATATATATATATATATATATATATACATATATCCATATCCATATCCATATCCATATCCAGCGCCCGCTGGGGCACCAGGACGTCGGCTTCCAGGCGGTGGATATGGCTAAATGCCCGCCTCGCAAGTTCGCACCCCAGGCCGTCGACAGTGCTCGCCAGCCCGCGCGGCCTGCGTGACCGCCGAGCAGCAGGGCTGAACCTAAACGGTGTTCTGGCGATTTCGTGGGCCGTTTTCGTTCCGATGTCATTCTGCGGTGAAGGCGGATCGAAGACAAAACGAGGGAGCACGAAAACAACACGAGAACGAACAACACCGTTTAGGTTCAGCCCGCCGAGCAGCAGCCCCCGCGACGCCGGCGCGCGACCGCGCGCGCCGCGGCGCGGCCGCAGGAGCCCTCGGCGGTGCTGCGGCCCTCGCCGCCGCAGGCGGGCGCCGACCCCGCCGGCCCCCGGCGGGGCCTGGGCCGGCTCCTGCGGGGCCTCTCCGGAGCCCCCGCGGAGGCGGAGGAGGCGGCGCAGCCGCCGCAGCCCCAGGCCATCGGAGGACAACATTCCGCTTGGTATCGCTCGGACGTGTGCTCTTTTTCTCGGCGGGGATTACTAGGGAGCATCCTGGATCATCCCGCGAAGAAGCCACGCGCGAAACCGAAAGAAGCACCGGGAATGAACGTCCGAGCGATGGCCAGTGACCACCGCCTGGAGAATCTATTTCTAGGGACCTCGGCAGGCGGTGGATGTGGACATATGTGGGCCCCCCGGGGGCCAAACTATATGTCCATAGCCACCGCCCGCTGGGGCACCAGGACGTCGGTTCCCAGGCGGTGGATATGGGTAAATCCCCGCCCCGCAAACATACGACACAAGCATAATTTCAGGGGCGACTACAGGGCGGGGTGGGCTCGGGGGGGGGACGCATCGACCCCCAACCACCCAGTGATCGTGGATAGGGGCACGACAGCCCCACCCCGCCCAGGAACGGGCGGATTCGCTATCGGAGGCCTATCGCCGACATATCGGCGATGTATGGCCGATTTCAGGTCGATGCTCCCCCCCCCTGAGCCAGTTCCCCCCTATCGTCGCGCCTCAGAATTTATCGGAGGTCTGCGCGGATCTCTTGAATCGGCGCCGGGCCCCCCTGGCGGCGCCTCAAGCGCCGCCCCTGGCGCGCTCCGCGCGCCAGGGATCGGCGTCCGGCGCGGATCCTCAGAGTCCGCGCGGAGCTCCGAAAATGTATGTGTCTGCCGGTTTCTGCTTCTCCAGGCCAGCCCTCTGGCGCTGAGCCCCGAGGGCGGCGAGGCCGCGAAGGACACCAAAAAACGCGGCACGGGCCACAGATCCCTGGAGGCCTGGACGCGTTTCCTCCGGGCCGCCCAGCTGGCGTCGGAGCAGCCGATGGGGCTCGATGCGGAGCCCGTCGTCGCCGGTGCATCGCCGACGTCGCGGAGGCATCGCCGAAGCACCGGCGATGCGGCGCGATCCCCCGACCTCACTTGTTTCGGCTATGTTTGGGCGGCCTCCCTTCCTGGGTCGGCGCAGGGGCCCACACCACCCCCGCCCGGCCGAGCACCGCCGCCCCGAGGGCCCAGCGCCGACAGATCGGTGCGGGCCTTTCCACAGCGTGTCTCCGGGTGCTGCCGAAGGCGTCCCCAGGAGTGCTGGGGAGGCCTCGGGGCCCCCAGGACACCCCTCGCGAGGCCCACGAGGCCTCCAAAGGGTGCGAGCAAGGTTGGCTCGAGGCAGGACTCTCCCCGAGGATGCGACGCCGCGACAGAGAATTGGAGCTTCGAGAAGCATCACGAGCAGCGCTCCAATAGCCCAATCTTTAGGCTGCCTTTCTCGAGCTGGGTCGATCTACGAAGGTCCTGGGGCCCGAGGCCAGGCGGAAGGGCCTGGTGTGCCAAGTAGGAAGGGGCCCTGGGACACACACATAGATACACACAAATAAAAGGATTCCCAATGTTTTCCAACCTTTTCTGGGTTTCTGTCTTCCCCCCCACTTCCCATGCTTTCCCATATTTTCCTGGGAAGCGACGACTAGTTGTGTCTGTGTGTTTCTTTCCCTCCTGAAAGTACTGCAGCGCGCGGACCTCAGGGTCTAGCAACACCCGATCCTGTCTGCTCGTGATTGACAAATGACCGGACCCCCCCCCTCCGGGGCCGAGGAAAAGACCAAGCAGGGTGCGAAGCATTGTTTTGAATCGCGCGCGCCAAGGGGTCGTCGCTGGCGCCGCCGAGTGGATTGTGCACCCCCCTGCATGACAGCCTCAAAACGATTGCCTTTCATGTAGAATTTGTGATAGGGATCTACAAATCCGAGGCGAATTGTTGTTCCCACTCTCAGGCGTTGTCGTCGTCGCCGCCGCCGTCGTCGTCGTGTATTTCGTCATCATTCGTCGTCGTCGTCGTCGTCGTCGTCGACTACAACGGGCCTGCGCAGCCCCCCCCCCCGTGGCGCATCCGCAGTGCGTCGTCGACGTCGCCGGCCGCCGTTGCTGTCTGTCGTCCGCCGTCCGTCGTCCTCGTCCTCGGCCCGTCGTCGTCGTCGTGGTCGACGACGACGACGACGACTACAGAAACCACGACAGAGGGTGGGAGCAGAACTGCCCGCCTTGCTCGGGTCGGACGCAAGGCTGGGGAATGAATAAGGGGGTTGCGAAACCTGCTGCGCGTTGCTGGTTTCGGTCGCCCCGCCGAGTGGCCAGTCCTCGATGCATGGCCGCTTTCGGCGCCAGGGGGCGCTCGGAAAATCAGCAATGTGAGCTGCTGGGCAAATCCCCTTGGCCACGCTTCCCTTTCGTCCAGCCCGCTTTGCTCGCGAGCCCACGAGGCAGCTGGCGCCCCCAGGATGCGGCCAAGGCAAAAGGAATGCTTCGGTCCGAAAGAAAACATA